ATTTTTTGGTTGCAGCCGTCATTGTTGTTTTGGTGGGCCCGGCCTGTATTCGAACCCGCCACCTTAGGTGTATGTGGCTGGCGCCTTAGCCACCTGAGCCACAGGCACCGAGCCACCCCATTCTTCTTGGGGTTAAGTGTCATGGATATTGAAGGATGGGACAGCCACCATGCTTTTTCCTACTTCTAATCTGATCTTCTGACAGGTTATGATTATCAGCTTCAGCGGCATCACAAATGACAAATGTTCTAGTTCCTCAACATCTGGGCTTGTTTTTAGAAGTTGTAGAGATTCATACTATCATTCTCAGGCCAATTTTAGCAGACATACATAAGTCTAGGAACTTAGGGAGTAATTAGATTTGAATTTGGACTTGTTTAGAATAGGTAGGGGAAAAATAGAATTTCACTTACAAGATATCCTAACTTGGTGAAAAAACAAAATTTCACCATTACAAGAGATGGAAAGAGGTAAGTATAATTTACTTAGCCCAAGAAAAATAACAGATGAGATTCAAATCCCATTAGGCCTAGGGTAACTTCCTAATTGATTTCCCTAGAGGGTGGATTCCCGATGGGTGACATAGCTAGGTGAACAGGCTGATAATTTACTTTGCTTGGAAGTGAGGCACATAGAAAAGCTGGGGAATAGATGATTCAAGTGTTCTAATTATGTGACCAGATAGTCTGAGGAAAGAGACCATGACAGGTGGAAGTTGTGTATTTAATAAATGGGCAGTGAACATTGCCTAGTTGTATTTTCTTTTCTTTTTTTCAGCTTTATTTTTTTTGGTCGGGGCTGGGTTTGAAACCGCCACCTCTGGTATATGTGGCCGGCACCCTACTCCTTGAGCCACAGATGCCTCCCATCCTAGTTGTATTTTCTAATCAGATTTTCCAACATTAATGCAGATTTTTAAAAGCTTAATTTTGGAAGCTAGATTATCTTAGAGACAAAGGTACTCTGAAGAGGTCCCTATGGTGATGACTAAGTAGTTAGTTGGTGGATACAGACATTGTGCTCACACAGAACTTTGCTTTATACTGTATAATTAAAATATGACATGCTTGATTTCTTAGGGATTTTGTGTTGGTTATGTTGTGCTTCCACATAGGGGATAGGAATCCTGATGCTAAATTAGTAAAGATAGCTCCATTTAATCCTGCTGACCCTTTAGGGAGGAATGGATGGATGGATAGATAGAATATGCACATAGTTAAAAATGACATACAGTGAAAAGTCAAGTTTCTTTCCCACCCATGT